GTATCAAGTTTGCCCAAAGTGGGCAATATTAAGAGGATATAAATTACTTCCCGTGTCTTTCTCATGATGCTTCTCCAGCTCTGGGCTCCTTCCGGGACGATACCACCTGCCGACTGCCTTCCTGGGATCACTGTAACGACGACATTGGATGATACCCGTGAGAGCACTTTGTAACATGGCAGTGACTGCCCAATGTCGAGTACTGTCGCCAGCCTTTCAGAAAGTAGGAGATCAAATGTGATTCATTTTAACTTTCTGGTATTAAGAAAAAAAATCACACAGAGTCTCATTGATCCAGTGCGGGGGGAGGGGGGAGAAAGGCAGTCTTTGATTTACTTCCAAGATAATGTTTTCTGACCAAGAAATATAAAATTGTTAATGAGCCAAATAGGTATTGATTTGCTACTTTGTATATAGGTTGGTAGTACATTTCAAAGTAACTTTTATCTGATTATAAAGGGACACTTGTCAGTTGTAAGAATTTTGAAAAATACAGAAATGAATAAGAAACATAATCTCTCTACCCAGAGATAACTGTTTAACAGCTTGGCTTATTTCCTTCCAATTTTTATTCTGCATATAAATAAGAATCGAGAATACAGGCTTTTATATTCTGATTTTTTCACTTATTATAAGCATTTTCCCTGTTATAAAAAAATCTTTTGTTGAACATGCTTTTTAATGGCTGACTAATATTCCATGGCATGCATATACATAAGTACTTATTATTCCAGATTATTTCGTTAGATGTCTAAAATATACTTTTACTAAATAAGAGGCTATGACCATTGTAAGACTTTTCATACATCTTGATTAGAACATTGCAAGCAAGCCTGAACCGTTAGGGGTGGATCTCGTGCAAAAGCCCTCGGAAACACAGGTGCAGACTGATGCTAATACACAGATGCAGAAAACCTGTTCTCTTCCGAGGGCTACGTAACGGCATGCTTGGGCCGCAGCACGGCAATCGTTTACAGGTTGTTCGGTTGGGGTAGCTATGAATGCCTCGTGCAAAATAAACCAGAGAGCCACCGAAACACATTTTTGCAGGTGAAAATTATGTTAGCTAACATCATTTCTCACTCTGGTTTATGATGTCGGGTATCATATTTCTCTATTATTAATATACATATGCCCGTGGGGGTAGATCCTCTTGGAAGGAGATTAAAAAGACACCACCACCTAACCCCCCCCTTCCTAATAATGTGAGAATGTCCAGAAGCCTCAGGGGGCTGTACAGTAGCTCAGCGTATCAGACAACACCCTGTAGAGGATTAGCTTTCTTCCCATTAACGGGCTCCACCATAGAGTCAGGGGTCATTTGTACTCGCAAGAGAAAACCCGACTTAAGGAAAGTGTGCTATTTGTCTACTCAGCACCGCATACCTATAAAGCCTTGGAAACCGCTCTTTAGTGACTGAATACATTTCTCATTTTCCCATCACTTTTCCCCCTGCTTGGCCATTTTCCTAAAACCATAATTCAAACTTTCCAAAAGAAAAAAAAATCTCTGGGTAATCCTTTCAAGGATTCGTAGAAGGAAATCTTTATTCTTTTATCACCCTTATGGGAAACCTAACTTGTGACTATTATTAGGATTCAAAACGTTTTCACCACCCACATCTACCTGGGTAGGGTGAGCGCTGGGGAGTACGGAAGCAAAAAGGCTTTTAGCTTGAGGAGCTTGGATTCTAAAGCCAGGGACAGCCGAGAAAAGAGCCACCTGGTGTGTTACACCTCACAATTGAAACTGGAGGAAAATACCTTTTAATTACAAAAGGGTTAGGCGGAGATCTGGGCGTTCCTTTCCAGCAAATGTGCACGCTTTTACCACTGTTAGAACAGGATGGGAAAGAAGATTTAAAAAAAAAAAAAAAAGGAAGACGCCTAAAGAAAGAGAAGTTGGTTGTCTTCTGAATATTTTAAAAATCCTCATCACATTTACGTTCCCGTGATTATAAGTGGGAGGGACCTTCCTTAGCTGGGACCATGTCGGCACTGTGAGCAGAGAGGCAGAGGCCCAGCTTCTAGACCTCTGCATGGAAGGGCGGTGTCCTTTGGACCCAAACACAGCCTCCTTGTCACCCGGAACATTCTTTTTCCAAGGCAGGGACCCAAACACGCAGAGTTGTCAACTTTTCTGCCCCTCCTCTAGCTTTTAGGAATTAGATTCCTGGGATGCAACTCCCGGTTCTCATCCAGCAGCTGGAGCATGGCGAATGAATGAGTCAAACAGGTGCCTTCATGTTCACCTTTCGCAGGGCTCTGCTGTCACGACTGGGGATCTTGACGTTCCAAGCAATGCCGTGTTTGCCACACAGGCAGCAGTAACAGAGCAATGTGCAGCCGGCTGGGGGATCGAAATTTGCAAACTCAGTATCCTGGGCCTTGGGCCAATGCGGGCTGGGCGCGTTGCAGTGGTGACACATTTAGACTCTAGGGAGCGACGCTGGCACACCAGCTGCATTCCTGGCACCACGCTTGCCAGTGCGAAACGTATCGAGTGGAGCTGGTATCAACTCCAGAGGGAGAGGCAAGCTGCTTCCTTAACTTCTTTGGCAATCCCCCCCTTTGCAACTTGTGCGCAATACACCCTCCTGAATATTTACAAGGACTTCTATTTGTGATACTCTTTGGGGCCCTGTTGGATGGTACTTTGAAGGGAAGTGCTAAAATGATAGCAGCATTCCAGTTTACAAATGTAACTATAGTATTCCTGAATAATTCACTTTCCTAAAATTGGCACTTAACTATGCAATGACTTATCTATTGCAGGGAAGGGATTCTAATCTCCCCTCCCCCCAACACACACACTTTTAAAAATAGCTTTTACTTTTGCCAAGAGAAGAGCCTAGTATTTACTATCGGAGGGTATGTGAATTAAAATACTAGCTGCTTTCCCTGTTGCAGCTCACCGGCATACTATTAGCTGAATTCTCTACCACCTGGGAGAACCAAGTCCTCAACAGAAATGCCCTTAGTTCTTCCTCACCCACCTCTCTTATTTGTGCCTGGAAGGCAACATGCGCTAGAATTTGGCCACTTAGTATTCAGACCATGTCAAGATGCAAGTAAAAAGCGTATATTGCAGAGCTGGGTGCACAGTCGCCAGGCCAAACACAGTCAGCGGTTCAAATCACAGTGAAATTGTAAGAAAGCATGGGCAAAACACGCAGACCTGCCCTGTCAGTGAAGCAGGGGAGATAAAAGAAATTACTCCATAAATGCCAACTTGGGAGGCTTTCATGAATACAGAGATGGCGTTCTTTCCAGCTGCCTCCAGTTGACTGTAAAAGCTAGTTAGGATTTTGAACATAATGCTTTCTTCCTCCTCCTCCTCCTCCTCCTCTTCCCTCCTCTTTCTCCTCCTCCTCCTTCTCCTCCTTTGTCTTCTTTTAGCATGCAAAGCATCTCCCAAAGTATTGAGAAATGAACAATTCCTCTGTGTATTTCCATAATTTTGCAAAGGGACAGCGATGTTAGCAGGCCAAGTGATCACTACTGGAAGCATCGGACATGGCAGAGGAAATGCAGTTAATACAATAATTCACATATGTTAATGCTTAGTTCCATCAATGTCAGTTTTATTTTCTTCTTGATATACACAAAGCTGGCACACAATTTTAACTGATGAGGTAATGTCATTTTTAATTTAGAGAGCCTTAAGCTGTCTGCTTTAACTCGTGATATCATCTCTGCAGTTGTCTCCTGAGACTTTCTGTAAACATAAGTCATGTGTCCTGGGCAGTGGGAGATGGGATTGTTAAAGATGACATTGGTCATCAGGAAGATTTCCCCCACTTTGATCTCTTTTAAATTGCCAGATACAGTTTATGTGACTGTCATATTTTAGCCATTCCTGAAATTAATATATCCCAGGTCTTTTGAACCAAGTTAAATACAGGAATAAAATAAAGGTTTGAAATGAACAGATTGTAATGTTTTCATGTCATTTCTAGAAGAAAAATGGAAGGCAAATCAGATTCCCTGGATCCTTGGTGACCTGGTAAATTAAAACAGAGCAAAGAGCAAGATACTAAAAAATATACAACACCAATTAAACAAAAACCTTCCTGTTTTCCTGGGGGACACTAGTGTATTGGAGACAGTTTTCTACATTTTAAGGATAAATTAGGCCCAAGAATATCTGTCATCTCAGTGTAATCTTTTGAGTAATATTTTATTGTCACCTCCTTTATGATTTGTCTCCTTAATGTGTCATTATTAGACCTGAAATGTTTTTTAATCCCATCGCTTTGGTGATTTCAAGTGTGTCATATTTCTTTTTCAAACAGCAATATTCCTTTAAAGACTCAGGCTGGTAGGTATAAACAAAGTTACCTTCCATTTTTAAATAAACTCTTTTTCTTGGGAGAAGTTAATGCTCTATGATCTAAATGTTGTTTTGGGGAAGATAATCTGTGTTTTAACCATGGGTTGTGGATACCGAGAGAGTTTTTTCTAAGAAGTCTGGAGTTTGGCAGAATTGAGTTCAATCGTAAAGAATCTGTTTATTATTCTGTGGCCATATGTTTAGAGGGTCGCTCACAGAAATCAAAGTATTGTTCATGGCGAGCTCCAGCCAAGGAGACATTTTGAATTCATAAAGGAACTTCACAGTTTGAAAAGAATGCATAGCATTATGTATTGACACCCCACCACCATAGACAAAGGAACACAATTTAATAATAGAGGATTGTGCTCATGAGATTTTTCTTTTTCTTGTTAATTGGTTACTTTAACTGACATTGTCTGCAAGTATAATGGATACCATTATTCTTAATAGTTCTGTGTTGCCAGATGATGTATACAGGCTTGATGTAGTCCATTCTAATTATTTCATTTTGCTAGACGTTTTTTTCCTCCATGTGATGCAGTGGTGAATACAGATAGCACTTTTTTTTTTTCCTGACAGGCTGTGCTGGATAGTGCTGGATTCTAAATCATGGAAATGAAAAGGACATTTCTCACTAATGTTTTCTTCCATGTGTATGTGCTAGGTATGACTATGTGGAGGTCATCGACGGAAGAAATGAAAATGGACGCTTATGGGGAAAGTTCTGTGGCAAGATCGCGCCTTCTCCTGTGGTGTCTTCGGGGCCATTTCTTTTTATCAGATTTGTCTCTGACTATGAAACGCATGGTGCGGGATTTTCCATACGTTATGAAATTTTCAAGAGAGGTAAGTAACTAACCTGTGGTAGAATGAGTATGACTAAATGTTCACTGAACATTGTTTGGCTTCCTTAAAGACAAAGTGGGAAGAAAAGACCAGGGTAATGCTTTTATCCTTCACTTAAAAAGAAATCATATATTTGCATTACAAAAATGTTGGAAAATACTTTAAATAAAGGAAAATTATCCCTTGTATGGAGGAAGTATGTTTAAAATTGAAAAAAAAAATAGCATTTCAGGAGTCTAAATTGCATCATTCCCATATGTTGACCAGTTTAGAAAGAATATACTCTACAAAATTCTTTTAAAAAGATATTTGTTCTTATTCTTCTTCTTTGAAAATAAGTTTGAAATACTCTTGAAGTTTGATTTCTTTTGTTACGAATGCATTAGTCCCTCTTACCTTAAAGCCATGGATGTCCCCTTTATTTCACTGCAAAATTCAAAGCTGGTAGTTCCCGGGAAAAACTAAGTGGTCCACCAGCCCGGTGGTTTCTGTAGCTATTGGGGGAAGAAGAGGAGGATGATTGGGTAAAGAACATCTTAGAAGAACCGAAAAAGTAATGCTTTCAATGGCATTCTCCTTAGGAATAAAATATCAGTTACCCCTTCTAATATAAGCATTTACTAATCTTCTGTCATAGTGGTACAAGTGGGAGGTGATAGACCCTAACAATTCATAGGCTCTAGAGGGATTAAACACACATATCTGTCAATAAATAAACACTGTGACTTTATGTGGATGTTACAGTTTTTAGCAGCAGCCTGTAGATTTCCTTTTTATGTGTAAAATCCAACCTTCCTGTTTTTACATTTCTAAGTTGGTTTTAATGTGTGGGAGACCAATCCGGTAACACAGGCTCAAGAGAAAGAGCTTGTTTTAATAGGAAAAAAATCTAGCCACAACGAATTTCAGAAGCCTAAGGTCTTCTGGGTCAAGGACAACTGAGGATAATGAAAAAGAGAGTCATTAGGAGTTTCTGGAACCATTGGCGCAACTTCTTTAAATTTTAAAGCTATCTGGCTCTGCCCCCAGATAAATAGGGATAGACGGAGAGAACTTTCTTTGGAAGTTTAAGCACATACATACTTAGAACAGGTTTAGTATAAATAATAGTGTACACACAGATGATTATATATGCACATATTTTGTTGTGTTGAAAGCTGTTTGGTATAAGTCATATTCTGCATGTATGTATATGTACACACACGCAAACACACACACGCACCCCTACCTGTGTTTGCTTACTGGCACGTGGCACTATCAAAGACAAAAGGTGTCAGAAAGCAGCCAAGGAATAGCCTTTGGTTTTCAGTGTTTCTCAAAGATCTGAAGATGGTCGAAAAAGAAAAGAGAGAGATCCGTCACTAAGTGACATCAGGGATCCTCGATCTTCCTTCCAAATGAACTCAGCTCCCTACGTTCCTGTTGGCCTCAGACGTGCCTCAACTTCCCCATCCTGCTCGCCTGGTCCTTGAGACTTGAAGCTGCCTTTTGTTCTTTCCCTTCTTGACCCCCTACACCCAATGCGGTGTCTAGTCTGGGGCTTCTGAATTTTCACCCAAAGGTCTCAAAGAGTCTCCGCCACCTTTCCATGTCCACTGCCATTAGCCAAAGAGGCCCAACTTGTGGTCCTTCCCGTGCAACTTTAACCTACCTGACGCAGCTTCCCAAACAGGCACGAAGCCGCCGTCCTCGAAGCGCCTACAGTGGGTCTCCATCCCTGCCCTGGGAAAGACCCCAGGTCACACTCCAGGCTGGACATCCACTGCCCCTGTGCCTGCCCTGCTTCAGTGCTCAGGGACCCACAGCCCGGCTTTCTGCTTTGGGATGGGGCACCGGTGAAAGTCCAGCGGACCTGACCGTGGACTTTAATTCTGCCACTGCCTGTCTGTGTCAGTGCTCAGAGCCCCGGTTTCCTCATCTGAAAACATGGAGGAGCAGACCTACCACAGGCTTGTTGTGAAAATCAGTTGTGAAATGAAAGCACGGGAAAAAATGCAGCCAGTGCCCGCCACTGACGATGTGTTCAGTAAACAGTAGCTGCCACAGTGATCATGGGTAGAGCTGGTGACTTCAAAATTCACAGCCCCTGATCTCTTCCAGTATATTCCTCATGTCCTTGGAAACCTATTCTTCTCAGGAAGCTCTTCCTAATTAATCTGCTTTTCCCCTCATACACAAGTTGTCTTGTGTGTGTGTGGGTGTGTGTGTATACACATATGTACATACTATATACAGTGTGTGGAATGTTTGTATGTGTGTATAAATATCCCGTGTACACACACACATATCCCACTTACCAATGTTTCTCCTTAATATTTTCAAATGTCTTCAAATGTGGGATTTCATTTCCCTTCCAGACTGGTACCACCTGAAAAATGCAAAGAATGTATCTTTTTCCCCCCCTCACTGTACATACTGCACTCCATATATATATATGTATATATATATATAGGTCATGACTATTTTTTCCTCCAAAGCCATTCAGTATAGAGTTCGTGAACCTCTGTTCTTTTGGAAATATAGCAAGTCTTTCAGGGTGCAGCAATTTCAAGTTTCCTCAAAACACATGAATTATACTAATCACAGTTTAATGCAACCAGGAAATTAATCTTTCACCTGTTGACCGTGAGGTTTGGGGGCATTAGATTACAGCCCTAAGAGAGACTAAGGCCGTTTCTGAGTCCCTGGGCCACGTTGCTGCAGGGCCATCTCTGCCTGGGAATCAGCAAGGCCAGGCCCCACCTCTTCCCGTTATTCCGGGAGCCATCCTGGACCACCCTCATTCTCTCCCCAGGAACCCCATTTCCCTTATACCTGACTCTTCCCAGATGCTTAAATCTTGGGCCACCAGCTCTATAATTATTCCCGCATTTTTCTGTGGGTCTCAGTGCAGGGGGAGGTGTCATTTATTTCAAGTAGGATTGGTCACTTGATATGTTATGTGATTAAGAGTCTGCATATTTAATAATAATTCCAAAGAGAGTATCTTGACTATTATTATCCATTCTTATTGTCATTAGCAACTATACGTGGCACTCTTATAGCTACAAAAGGTACCCCTGATCTTACTATTAATAATAATGTGCACAGCATGGGGTTCATGTGCTCCCAAAGCTGTGTGAGCATCACTCACTCCTAGGTGCCCAGGGCTGCTGGTGCTCACTCCTGGTCGTTATTTGTAGTCACCATCGAATTCCTTAACCCATTCCTGCCATTGTCTTTTTCGGAGGACGTGCTTTTCAATTGTGGCAGACTTAAACAACAGCAAATAAGGAAAATATTAAAACAAAATCTGATGCATGATGGAGAAAATACGAAATGACAGAATCTTTAAGTTAGAAGGGATTTGATTTTCCCAATCCTAAAGCCCAACTCCCGTAGTTAGTTCCGCACAGAATTTGAGAACCAGAAGGGTTGAGAGGCCACCACAGGCTGCAGAGGGGGTTAGTGGCAAAGGCAGGACTGGGATTCAGATGTCCTGGTGCTCAACCCAGTTCTCTTCTTCCATGACCCCGTGGAATTTCCTATGTTTCGTCAAAATACATTAGAAAGCCTGGGGTAGCTTCATGACATGGCCAGGGAACAGTGAAAGCACGGAAATTCATTCGGTTTCGAAAATGTGCCCTTAATTCCTGTCATTTTTTCCTCCCCTTAAATCTTAATCTTGCCTGGACAATTTTACCTTTTATTATTAGTATCTGCGTTAAACCTTGATGTTTACTTTGCTTTACGAGGACCTAGCCAAAGGATGTCTTTCCCTAGGGAGGAGTTTGGATGTATCTAGGATCACTATCTCTATATCTTGGAAATAAAATTCTAAAATTGTTGGAAATAAAATTTTTTATACATATATATATATACACACACACTTGTGAATTAATGACTCAAATCAGCATAGCCATTGTCATCTCAGAAGCCAAAAGAGTAATTTAGAAACAGATGATAAACTATATAGCACATGTCATAATCTCTTTACCTGGAATTGACCTGGCAAAATGCCACATGTTCATAACTTTTAACCAGAATCAAATAGATAAGCATCTGAGGCCCTCATAGGGAAGGGCGCGAGCCACATTCAAGAAGGTCTGGGAGGTATTTTAAACAACCTGCAGACCATGTTTATTGTGCCCATCTGACAAGTATTCTTCTGCATCTGCAATTCCATGGATATCTGATGTGTGCACAGGGAGAAAACGATTGATTTGTTTTCTCGATGGGCCGCCAGATACACTGAGCTGGAGATGCAGCTTACTGACCCGAGTCACTAAAAATAGAGACCTGCTAGTTAAATTTAATCTGTATTGATGCCTAATCAGTTGCCTCTAGTTCCTTGGCACTCTGGGAGAATATTTAGTTACGAACAATCTCAACAAACCACCTTATTCAGAGTTGAATCCTTGCATGCCATTACAAGGGGCCTGTTCCTTCTGCCTGCATGTCACTGTGAGAAAATGGTGCAGGAAAAGAATTGTCGAATTGAACATACCCTGAAATTCAAAAGGGTCAAGTCTTCTCTGATTCACAGAGAGCCATAAGTGTAGCTATTTGAAAATCATGGCAGTGGCGGTGGTACTAAGGGCAGAGTTGATACTCTCATGTCAGTGTAGACAGGCAGTTCTTCAGTTGTGTAGTGAATACCACCCTATTCTGTGCTGGATAAAGTGGATTGAAACAGTGGTCATTCCAACAGGCATAAAGTCAACCTGCACTACACGCATGGATGCTCTTAACCAATTTAAATGACAAATCGCCATAATCTGTAAAGTCTTGATCACACTGAACAGTTATTAAAGTTACACATTATAAATATATACATCACGCACACGCACACATCTATTAACGAGCAGCTGTAGAACGGCATCCTGCATCCGATACTTCGGGGAAGGTTAGGTGTCAGCATTGATATCGGGTGACTTCGGCATCACGGCCTGTAATCCCATTTTATCGTGCCCTCACTAACAGCCACACTTTAGCGGCACACCTGTGTCAACACCACTCAGAATGAGTCACTCACCCTGGGTACATGTACGAATTACCTTTCACATTTAGTTTGTCAAAGAGGCATAGGTCACATCTGGCAGAGTTACTGAGTCACTGGTGTAGGAATCTGAAACCCAAACTCCCTCCACTGAATTCTCTCCCTCACCTTTGTAAATGTTCTATTTCACCAATAAAGGGCTGTCAGCCTCAAGATTTAAAGATTTAAGCTTGAAGGGGCTATAATTATTTCTCTAGGGCTCTGTCGAGATTTCTGCAGCTTACTCATTCACTGTTCCCACATGATTTTATATTTGTCATTTTTTTCCCCCTGCAACAGCAGAAGTCTTTAAATTGCTCCACACAAATGGAAAACTAAGGTGAATACAATAAATCTGAACTTGACTTTCCATACCTATTTCACTAATATGAAAAGGCTGACTAATGCATGATTAGGACAGTGATTTTAACGGTGGGCTTTTATTAGAAAGATATTCCATCTTGGCCCAGGTTATTTTTTGGTGAAGTTGTTTAAGTGGGATTTTCACATTGCTCCTTTTTCTCTTTTGCTCGTAGGTCCTGAGTGTTCCCAGAACTATACAATGCCCAGTGGAGTGATAAAGTCCCCTGGGTTCCCTGAAAAATATCCCAACAGCCTTGAATGCACTTATATTATCTTTGCGCCAAAGATGTCGGAGATTATCCTGGAATTTGAAAGCTTTGACCTGGAGCCCGACTCAAATCCTCCAGGAGGGATGTTCTGTCGCTATGACCGGCTAGAAATCTGGGATGGATTCCCCGATGGTAAGAATGACAGGAAGCACCCCAAAAACGGAAGGACCTGGAGAAGTTGCGCCAGGATCCTTTTATAAGTGTCATGACACATGCATCATTTTTTTAAAAAGTAGCCCAAAAGGACAAGGGAAAACAAAGCAAAATGGCAACTCTCTTTATGTAGACCAGTGATGAAATATGTGAGCTCAAAAGGACCTCAGTAATTATCTAGTCCAATTCCTTCATTTTACACATAAGGAAGCTGAGGCCATGAAAGATTAAGACCTCGTAGCTATTTTTGTGATAGAATTGGGACCAACGCATAGTTTTCTTCACTCAAGTATTTTGCTCATTTTACTGACCTGTCTACTGGTCATTAAATCATAGACTGTCAGAGGATAGGATCTTAAGAAATGAATTAAATTAAACCACTCACTCTGCACAAATGCAGAGACTGATGGCCAGAGAGGTTAAGTACTTGGTAACATTTTAAGGATAAAACATGCATCCATTACATTACCAAAAAATTTAAAAATTTGGAAAAGCAATGAGAATGTTTGGGCATTCCTAACATAGACTCCTTGCATGCGCTCTACAGCATTTTCATCTTTGGCAATTTGAATCACCTCAATACATCATTTATATTTATCATTTCAATCCTCTAAATTAATTTGTACATCTAAAAAATATTTCTTGAGCACCTGCCATGTACCAGGCTCTGTCCTAGCCACTAGTTAAGCAAAACAGTCAAAGATGCTGCCCTTGTAGAGTTTATATTCTGCCAGAAGAAATCAGAAAATAAACAATGCACATTACAAATAAATGAATTATGTGCATGAAATTTTAGAAGGTGAAAAGTATTATTAAAAAATGAAGGGAAAAAAAAAGTAAAGCTAGGGTCAAGGAATGAGAAGTTAGAGGAGGGAAGGTGTGGGTTGAAATTTTAAACAGGGTGGTCAGGTTAGTGACATTTGAGCCAAGATTTGGAGGCGGTGGCCGTGTGGACATCGAAATGAAAGTTTTCCATTCGGTCCTTCTGAATTAGAAGGTGAATGGCAAAAATACACAGCCAAATTCTAAACAGAGGGAGATAATATCAAATAATTTGTCACAGCTGCATTGCTTGTCTTGTGTTTAGTCTGGTTTAATATTAAGATTTCTCTAGAGAGCATATGCTACACAGATCAGAAAGGGTAGCTTGGAAGTTCTTAGTGGCCATGCACTTAGAGATGCATAACCATCTATAAAATGGAGTCAGCTATTCTAAAGTTGGAGCAAAGAATATTTAAATACATTGTCAACGAAGAACAAGTATAATATGAAGGAGATTGCCTTAATCTTTGAAATGACATTAAAATCATCAGAGTAATTCAATTTAATTATGTTCCTCAATAGTAAACAGCATTAGAGAAAAACCTGGTCTAGAGAAACTTTGTATTGTCATTGAAGTAAATGGGTGAGTTAACATTAGTTTAATATCTTCTTTGCTCTTTTATCATATAAATAAGATTATGGTGATCTTATCAAAACTCCTTCATTAAGTAATGAGATTTGCCCAAACAGAATGCTGATGGATTTCCAAGTATTCAATCCAATAATTAGGAAAACAATATTATAATAATGTTGTAACAATAGTTGGAACATTTAATAATGGGTTTATTTGTTCACAACCCAAATTTGCAGCCTTCCTTTCTAGAACTTTCATTTAAATTGACATCTGAAGAGGAGGTCCAATCAACCAACTTATTTAGAATACTTTCAGAAAGAGGCACATTGTTATTAGTGTCAAGGGTTTTTCAACACAGTAATTTTCTGGCTCTAGAAAATCATTGAGTTGAAGCGAGGAACAATTAACAGTAGGAGTTATCAGCCTTTCAATTTGCCCATGTTTTCAACTATGGTGCATCTGACTTAGTCACAGAGAAAACTGGCTTTGGAATATGAAGAGTGCATTTGTATAGCTGCTAATGTTTACCTGGCCTCGTCCAGCCTGCACCAACATAACAGCTCTCTTTTTTAGGCAAAATGAGAGACTACGTCCTCCTGGGTGTTTTGTCAATGGCACTAGAAACATTTTTGTCGTAGTAGTTCAACACATACAGTGCCTCTGCCAACAAAATTGCTTTTAGTCTTTGATATCTTTTCCAAAAACAACAACCAGAAGGCGCTGAAGGCTTTTAACCGTCAAGCGATTTTATGTTGCATTTTATCATAAACATTGAATTAAATGACTAAGTAATTGAAAGCTACCCATTGATTCAAATCGACTTTGAAGCAAAGCAGTTTACAAAACTTTCTGAGTTTACAAAACTCAGAAATCAAAGCACGCGTATTGTGAATACGCATCTCCATCTATCACTCTTTTTGAAGCTCTTAGGGATTCGCAAGTAGCAGCTCTGAAGGAAGTGGGGAAGAGTTACATACACTTTGAGACCAAGAGCCAAGGAGAGCTGCCCTGGTTGGTGTCACAAGTGCTTGTGCTGGACGGTGGCTCCATCCCACTGTGCTGGTGCAGGTGAAGTCAGTGCTCTGCCTCAGCCAGCAGAAGGGGCTGAAACCGCAGCTGTCACCTGTCCTCCAAAAATGATCAGCCTTTTCAGGAATAAGTTTCCTAAAAGCTAGATTGAGTTCTGTTTGTTTTTTGTTTACTTTTACATTTAAAGTAACCTCCTAAAACCACAGGGAAAGGTAAAAATCGGCCAATTTTTTTTTTTTCCTGGGGACAAGTTGTAAAGTTTATTTTTGGTACTCCAGATACTTCTGCACCAAAAAGTTTTTTTAATTTAATAAAAGTATAAATGGCCTAGTTTTTACCTTTGAAATGAGTCCCTTTTTTGTTTATTATTCAAAATACCTCATTTAAATAGTATCTATGTAGTAGATCATTGATTTTATTTTTTCACATAAAAAGGTCGCAGAAAGCCAAATCGTTTGATTCTGAGATAGGGTTGTAATTATTGGACAGGTTAATGGGAAAATACAAAGAATATGGTATCACCATTCACTGTTGCAGGTGTATCTTTTAAACAGCACAAATACTCTATCGCCACCACACCTGATCAGATCTGATCATGACAGTTCTGTTCTTCCCCAAGTGATAGCTTGGCACATGTTGCTTGCTTAAATTCCTCAATAGTTCAACTTTTGGATCATACTTCTGTTTTGGTGAAATTTCCACTTATCTTTCCACTTGGCCTTTGGGTCCACAATCACAAGAAATAGGAAATCCAATAGCTGTGTTCATATAAATACACAAATGAGCACACATACGAGACGGGGTAAGAGCACTTCATCCACTCTCGCTCAGATCAATATTGCATTAGCTTGCTAGGCTGAGGACTCACTGTTGTTCAGGAAAATTCAATACTTCTTTGTATTGTAGTCGAAAAAGCCTTTCACTCTCCTATCTTGCGGGCTCCTAAAGAGAGTTGCATGCTGCTGTCCGGGGGCAATGTTCTAAAGGACAGAAGGCAGATTTACCCAGCTTGTCTTAAACATTATAAACCAGTGAGTCATGGAGACTCTCTAAATTATGAGTCTGCATTAGACAAGTTCTCTTCTGTTTGCTCTTTCAAAGCGTCTCCCCTTCCACCCTCCCCAAAGGAATTGCGCGATGGCGGAGGGGCGAGCTATGCCGCCAGAGCTTCCACGGGGTGATCACAGCTTTCCTTGTGAGCTTATATTCTTGGGAAGGTCAGTGTCTGTGGTGATCAGAGAGCGACCCCAAGGATGAGGGATGTAAAAGTTTGCCTACAAACTAAAGAAAAAGATTATGAAGCCACACTAATGGAATTCAAATGAGGGGGAGAAAAAAGTGAAGCAGTATGAATGGACTCTAAGCCTCCCATTTAAAATTGCAGACCAGAAAGGAGATTCTTTTTGAGAAAAGGAAAGACCTAAGTGTATGGCCCTAGCAAGATATTTTCATGCATATGTTATGGGCGACTTTGAGCTCCACAGAGAAGAAAAAAATTGCCGGGAAGGCCACATCCAGCACTTGTAGGAGACTCTGAGGCCGGAATTAAAGCTGAAGAGAAACCAAAAACAGCAAGAGTTTCATCTTCTCGCATGCTTTCTCCTGCCAACTGGGAAGCCCAGTGTAACGTTTGCTTCCCATGTTGCAAAGCTATTGTCCATGACAGTGTGTAGTAATCCGTATCAGCCGCTCTCACTGGGCCACCCCCTGGTGTTCTTCCTGATAAAACAGTCTATGCGTACAGAATGTTCGGTCCTGAAGAGTGAGGGGTTGTAGTAGAGAGAAAACTCTTTGAATTCAGTCAAATCAGTTATGTCAAACACATTGAGAAGTTATAAAGTATTCAAAGTAACCCATTTTGCATATTGTTCAAATATATGGACGACTTGGGTTTGGTTTAGTTGAGTTTTGTTTGTTTTGTTTTGGTCTGGGTTTGTTTGTTTGGCTTTTTTTGGGGGGGGGGTGTTTGTTTGGGTCTAGGTTTTTTTGTTTGTTTGTTTATTTTTTGGAGGATTGACCAAGAGATGAAAACCTGTTAGCCAAGGATCTACACGCTCTAAAAAGCAGGGTGCTCAGATTTGCTGCCTGCTAGGGACTGGGCTGGTCCTTGGGGCTCCAGGGAGATCAGTTCTTGCGCGGTTCAGTTTTGCAATCACACGTGGAGCTCTCATCAGCGGCATTCTGCATTCGATTGCACACACAGGCCGTGAAACACCACATCCCTGTTGAAGGCCCCTCCCTCCAGGGAAAGGTCCACCTACTGTGCTTCCTTAAACAAAGCAATAATTCTTAGTTGAAATGCACAGAACCATGGATTTCTTGGAGGGGAAAACAGTCCACATCAGACTGTCCTTCTAAGCCCAAACCATCTGGTATATTTTTACCATATGTGCAATGAAAAAAAACCTAGAAAAAAAGAGAATTTTTTTTCTTTTTTTTTTTTGGCTTGCTGCTGATCTGGACAGGGAAACTCTCCAAGTCCAGGGGGCTTCTGCACTATTCACAAGGCAACTCACAATTGCTCATTGCCACGGTTTGCGTAGAGTGCTTCAACAAAGGTGTGGCCAGTTTAAGCCAAACAGCAGTTTGACTTTAACATACATGAGTCGGTATTCCTGATCATGTATTGCCTCGGTACACTGCGTGTCCTCGTGTACACAGTCACATGGCTGCTTTGAGCCATCTCTTAGCCACTGGCACGAGTGCAGTGCACTCACCTCTCTGGTTTGGGAGAGAAAAAAACCGGACCAGAAGTCAGAAAGATGCATTTCTGTTTCATTTAGATTATAACTTGCTATTTTGTATCAATGATTGGCTTTGGTAGTCTCTAACTTTTAAAATTGTTGCAAATTATTAATTAGTCTTCAGACAAAGCCTTGAGTAGGACATGACCCCTTGTCCTTTGTTCAAGCCTGTGATGTTTATCATAGTGAGAAGGCCGGGCTAAAAGATGGAATGGGGAAGGAAATGGAGATTGCCCGGTCCTGGATCAGACCTGAGGTATTGCTCTGGTTCCAGGACATCAGCCATCCCCAGCATCTGCCCTAGGGCAGGAGAAGTGAGGACAGGTAACTCAAAGAGGGCTCAGTGACCACAGCCTAGCTGGAGTCTTTCCGTGCTGGGTTGTGTACGCCGTTCAGCCTCAGAGATGAATGCCACGGTGCCACTTAGCCAGCCCAAATCTCATTCTTTGCAACTGAAGCAAACATTTTGATTCTGTTCCTGAAAACAATTCTGCTCGCTGGGGAACATGGTTATGCCGGTAACTGCCCTTCTGAGCCCACTTTGAAATCTTCTCCGCAAACCCAATCCAATATGTTCACAGCAAACCAATTAACCAGGGAAGACTTGCTTTGGGTTAGAAAGCACTTCTGGGTTCTGCTGGGACCCGTGTTTGTAAACGGTAATTCTTGCCTCTGCTGTAGAGGAAAAGATATTCTGACATTTCTCTTTCTTCCTTTCCAGTTGGCCCTCACATTGGGCGCTACTGTGGACAGAAAACACCAGGTCGTGTCCGTTCCTCTTCGGGCATTCTATCCATGGTTTTTTATACTGACAGTGCAATAGCAAAAGAAGGTTTCTCAGCAAACTACAGTGTCTTGCAGAGCAGTGTCTCCGAAGGTCAGTATTTATTCATCTTGCAAAGCCCTGTGGTAAACACTACCCCGTTCTGCTCCTCACACACCTGCGGCCACATGAAACACGGAAGAAATGTTTTGTGAGCTGGGGTGCCAGGTGTTTGTTTTTCTCTTTGAAATGTTTTTTTATGAATATCAATAGAAAGAACTATTTGGTGTACTCGCTTCACAAAATTGTAGATGAGAAGCCTGCCTGTGAACCTCTGAAATTGCGTGAGAAAGTGCGAACTGGCAAAACGGTGACTTGAAACAAAGAAACCTGACCAGACCACTCAACTGGCACCCTCCAATTTGTCATAGGCTGAGAATCATAAAAGGACAGGCTGCAGATGATAAGAAGAAATCTGCAATAGTTCGCCGACAGAGCAGTCATGCAGAATGCATGGGGCTTTGGTCATGGGAGACCCTGAGGGAAGCCATTATGTTTCTTGTGTCCTATTAAAATACCCAACTTAACTAACTCAACCCTTGCTCAAAGTTTATGAGGTCCTCAGCTCTTTTAAAAACCCAAGGGAAAAAACTGAAAGAACAAAGAATAAGTTGTCTGTGGGCTTCATCAGTTCTAGATACCAGGCTTAACGTAAACGTAACATAGGGAGAGGACAAGGGGTGTTTGAAGACATGTCCTACTGATAGGCCAGTGTCTTCTTACCGATATGCTAGTATCTCCTCTTCCAGATCTCACTGGAAAATAAAGAGGTCAATGAAATTTCAAAAATCTCATTTGTGCTTCAGTTGTTAGAGTAATTAATCTGTGTATGGGAGGGGGCTGTTAATAATTTTTTATATTAAAAATAACAAACCTAAGTTTAAAAGTATGAAACCAGTGGAAGAAAACCTTTTATGCCCTAAAACCTTACCTGTTTTGATAGTAAGTTTAGAAAATGTGAAATTTTGGTTAGTTGAGATGTTCTGGATGGGTCAGAATCTTCCATTTAATCTCAAAAGCTGTGTTTTGCTTTTCTGCTTTGGGTTAACAGTGTCCTAACATTAATTCCTTGTTTCCTGATGTCATCAAACTGAGCCTGCCAGGCCTAATGGGATGCGAGTTTCAATGACTCATGGCTACTGTTGTGGTCATTATTATTTTATGTTGTAAAACTGTGGAGCTCTTTGGGGCCATAAGATACTTCAGCTTACCCCTGATGGATGCTTTTGTGTTTTAATAAAATAAACTAATTATGTTAATAATCATGACCAGGCCAGGGGCAGGGAGCATGAGAACAAAGGACTCAGAAGGACATGGTCTAGGGACCAATTCCAAGGAATTTCAAAGAAAGCTAAGATCTACTGTCTATTGAGTACGAATTGTAAATAGACATAGAGTCTTTTTCTGATTTATTAGATGTTGGAGGAAATAATTTAAAACTAAAATTTTATTTAAATATAAATTTTGGTGTATACCCATATGATAGGTACATACATATATATACACACACATACACTCCACTTTGAAAATAAATCAGAATTTCCTAGTAAATTTCAAATAGTATCTTTGTCAACCTAGGTCTCCTTGAGAACATTATTAATCACTGTTATGATCTTCATAGCCTTATTTTTAAACCTTGCTGTGAAAATACAAGTATTCATGCTACATTCCAATGGGTCCCTTGTGGCCACCTTTCCTAAGACGTTGAGTGAATGAATGCTTTAGTCCGCCAGACTAAAAAGGAAAATGCATCTTAGCTCTCCTATGTTTTGATGACTTTGAGCTCTATTTTTCTCTTCAGATTTCAAATGCATGGAAGCTCTGGGCATGGAATCAGGAGAGATTCATTCTGACCAAATCACGGCTTCTTCCCAGTATAGCACCAATTGGTCCGCAGAGCGCTCCCGCCTCAACTACCCCGAGAACGGGTGGACCCCTGGCGAGGACTCCTACAGGGAGTGGATCCAGGTATGCAGCCTCTGACTTGGCGCATCTAGAGTTGGGGAAGGTTTGGGTCATCCAAAAAGGTGGGGGGAAAAAAACCAGTACCATTTCAAAGGCCCTCCAATGAGAAGAGAGAATAGTGGGCATAAGATGTGATCACTGCTGAATGATCAATCACAACACGATCAGAGAAAAGCAGGCCCAGGGGACATCCCTGAAAAACCATTCATCTTCTCAGATACTTAGATGCTACTCTTTACAGAATTTGGGTTCAGATGCCTCAACTTTAACAACAACTAAAAGATCTGATGTTTCCCAACTACTACACATTTTCTTTTAATAGGCTTCCTACTTAGACAAAATTTTGATGTCCTTGATGTTAATCCTGTTTATAGATGTGCATGAAATAATTGTTCCCAAGTATAGGGTTTTCTGTCCATTCAAAGAAGGGAAGGGGAGGCTGGAGTGTATTTTTCCACATAGGTCGATACACCACACACTCGAGACTGGGTTGCGTTGTAGGCACTGGTCTCTGTTGACTGTGCGTTCATGGGTATGTATGGAATGTGCATACTTGTGTCCTCATTAATGATGTTGCTTCTGCTGTCCTCACTTTGCTCTGACATTCCTGTCCCTGTCGTAACATACATACCCCCACAAGTCCCTCCTCGACTGCCGCCAACCCTCGCACTGTCCCCATGTCCCAGCAATCCGATCTGGCCCCATCTCATCCCAGCACCACTCCCCGTGCCCAGCCTTGACCTCTGGATATTCCCACACGAGGTCTGAGGCTCATGTTCATGAGCATTTGACCCATTGTTAAATGAAACATCCATATCTGGATCTCTGGGTTAAACTCTGAGCAAATTATACAAAAGGTTATTTGCTGAAGGATCCAGGCTTCCTTTTCAGGAGAACAGGCAGAGCCTATCTTACATCCATTGCTAGATATATAAAAATGACTAATTCCCAGAGAGAGTTTTTGAGCAAGAAAAAAAAGAAAAAACCACCAAGATGATTAATCCTCTACTTTCCACATCTATTGCTGTTTCAGTCTTTTGAGCACAAATACCAGATTTTGTTTTACTTTGGAAAGGTCAATATTAGTTTAACATACACTTAAAGTGAAATAGCCTATTACTGGAGACTGAACTCATGCTAACCTCTAAAATGATAACACAGACAAATGTGTAGAGGGTGAGAAAAGATGAGACTTTTACCTTCGGATTGCTGAATCCAGCTCTGGATTAAGTCAGACATGAAATGAATTTGCCTGTGTCAAAATAGCTCTTGGTAACTTGTTTTTCCACATCCTCCAACCAACAAACAGTTCAGTGTGATTGACAGCCGTGCCTCTAGAGGATAGCTGACGTTTTGCAGGACTAAGCACATTTGCATGGCAATGTGGTCCTATTCTTGGTAATGGAGAGAGCTCAGTAATGTAGGGACGGTGGTCTTGCCGGGGTTCTGAAATTGCAGCTGTAGCAATTCTTCTGTGCAAGGCAATCCTCTGTCAGTAGAAACACGGAGACAGAACAGACTCTCTCAAAGCATTTGTCAACAGGACAGAGTTTACATCATTTTCAGTTAGGCACAATCTGAGATTGTCCCAGAAGGAAAAAAAAAACCTCAAGTCATCCAACTCTTTCTGTCAGTGAGAAAGCGTGGTCAGGAGAAGCGTGGTAACCCAAACCCCCCAAATGAGAAGGTTTCCTTATAGCTCATGCCACACCCTCCGTGGCCGCGCCAGCTGGAGTCTGCTCCACATGGCCTCACACTAGGACCCAGACCGTGGGGGCCACTGTCCTCCAAAATGTTGCCTGTCCCCAAGGCAGAGGGAGAAAGAGTGTGGCGAATCATGCTGGCTCTCCTGGCAGAGCACTTCCACCCACATCTCGTTGCCAAAGCACATCGCACAGCCACACTTAACTTCCAAAGGCCAGCAGACTTCTGCTGGAGGAAGGAGAGCTAGAAATATTTGGTGAACAGTAAGAATGACCACTGGGCCATTCTTAGGATATGCACCATTTTGGCGTGCTCGCTATGTGGTCCACCCTGCGCTAAATTCTTGACTTATTTGTTATTTAATCCTCACTGCGGTCCTGGGAAGGAAATATGATTATCTGTGTTTTTAAAAATGATGACATGGTGGGTGCCGTGGCTCATACCTGTAATCCTAGCACTCTGAGAGGCCAAGGCGGGAGGACTGCTTGAGGCCAGGAGTTCAAGACCAGCCTGAGCAAGATCGAGACCCCATCTCTACAAAAAAAAGAAATATTAGCCGGGTAGACATGGTGGCACACGCTAGTAGTCCCAGCTTCTCAGGAGGCTGAGGCAGGAGGATCGCTTGAGCCCAGGAGGTTGAGGCTGCAGTGAGCTATGATGATGCCACAGTACTCTAGCCCGAGCGACAGAGCAAGACCCTATCTAAAAAGAAAGAAAGAAAGAACAGAAAAGAAAAAAAATGATGACATGAAGTTCAGAGAAATTCGTAAATGCTCAAGGCCACTTAGTGATGAGGCTCGAAAACAAGGTCTGCCCCACTCCAGCACTGTGCTTTATGCCACCGTATGCAGGATCGTTATCAGTCATCACCATTCATATACTTCCAAGCATTATTTTATGCAACATCAGTCACCTCTCTGCAAACTTTTCCTCGTGCTGGGAAGGCTCGCTCAGAGATGGGTTGGGTGCTTCTTGTTGCTAAACCTAAAATGCAGGGACCTTGGTCCTTGATCCCCTCCGAAAGTTGAATGTCACAAAGCTTAGCTTTCAGGTTCACCTTGAGGTAAAATTATCACTTTTTTTCCCTTCAGGGCTCAGAGGGCTCATTTACATGCTTGTTGTGTCTGTCTACGTGGTAGGAGCTGTTATCATCCACCCATCACCTAATTATGAATAATTTCATGTGTTTCCAGCTTTTCTGAAACTCCTTGGAAGCGGTTGGCTTGTTGTTTTCATTGGATAGATGTTTTATAAATTAACCAACAAGTACAGCGTAATTTAGATGGAGGGCAAGAGGCGCTACCTCTAATCACAGGAACTTTTGCGCACATACATTTCTATTTATGTGCACATAAGTATGCAGATGACATTTGTTTTCTTTTTCGGCTTTTTCACATTTTGCATGAAATATGCCCCCACAAAGCAAGTTGCTGTAGCAACAACAAGGACAAATACTTGCATGTGTTAAATTAATAAGGCAATACTGGGAGCTGGCTTTCCTTCAAGACAGGAACAGTCTTTGGTTCTCATTGTTTTCTCTAGGAAATTACTGAGTGACATAAAAAAACAATGCATCATTAACCATGGATATGAACGTCCACCTTGGTGCTTCCTGTGAGATCTGTTGTCTGCCAGAAAGCTTAAAAACAAGTCAAGGAGCCCTTTTAGTGAGAAGGATTGTGAAGGGAAGTCCCAATCTGAAGGTTTGCACACAGCCATATCCTGCTCAAAAGGCCACTTCATATCCTGAGCAGCTAAAAAAACTCTTCATTGTCAGTGGCAGAGTTAATCACACTATGAAATTTGCCCCCTTTTTTCCCAGAGTATTCCATGCTGTATTCTGTGTCGTAGAGCTGCTTTTCTTATTATTAATTTAATCTTTTTTCTTACTCTGGAGTAAAGACTCAGTGTATAAAGGATGCAATAAAAATTCTTACTATTCAAGCACATCACGAGAGACCCAAGCCATTAAATCCATTGAAATTGAGTTTCTTTTCCTATAAAATAAAGATAATGTAGCTTTCACGCCATTCAAGTTCTTGGATACTATAAAGTGATACTATGATACTATGAATCTCAGGAAAATGCAGTCTCAATTTTTCCTTTTCATCTCTGCAAACTAAGTATCTAGCATACTGTGTCCGTTCAGGAGACATGCTCTCGTGGATCCTAAATGTAGCCATTCACACACAAAGCAGAATTTAATTCATTAACTATTTCAATGTTTTATTAATGGTAGTGTTCACCACACTGTAAACAGATTTATCCTTCCAGTTTTAATTAAAGCTCTTGGGAGTGCTTTCCTCAAAACAACTGTGACTTTTCTGTGATTAAAATGCCAGGAGACCAAAAAAAAAAAAAAAGGCAGGAGACACAATGCCTGGATGGGATGTGAACTTTGTGGACTGAAGAAATGAAAATGGCACCAGGGCCTAACTGATTGCCACACCCTCCAGTGACTTTAGAAATGGAATTACTTCACAGACTAACTGGGGCTGGAACTCTACTCTTCTCCAAATTTGAGGGCATTGTCTCTTGTGGAAAAAATTGTGGGACTGGATTATTTATGCCTTTGCTTATGCCAGAGGAGCAGAAAGCAGTTGGCTTCTAAACCACATCCTGTTTGGTGTGGTAAATCAGCCCTGTTATGGATTAATCACACAGAAGAAGGAAACCTCCAGGAAGACAGTCTGTGACTGTAAGAATACATAAGCAAGCCCCTGAGGCCGAAGCACCTTCTCTCTTCACTCCTGTTCTAGTACAGATGTTCATTCTGAGGTATGAGGAGAAGGAAAGTTCCAGAAGAGAGGAGTAGCTAGAGGTAACCTTCTGAGGAAGCTTGTTTCCACATTTTCCTTTTGCCTTATATGTTTTTCTCAAATAATATTAAAGTCTTCCCCATTTTCTCCCTAAAGGAACTTTGAAAGCAGACACCAGTAGCAAAAGCCCTTAGTGTGGTAGGGAGATGGGCTGAGCTGAGTCAAAACACACCCACAACAACACACACACACACATACACACACATTCACATTTACTCCCTCACAACAATAGCGTCGAAGAAAGTCAATGTTCCGCCAGGCATCATGGCTCACGCCTGTAATCCCAGCTCTTTGGGAGGCCGAGGTGGGAGGATCACTTGAGGCCAGAAGTTTGAGACCAGCCTGGGCAACATAGCAAGACCCCATCTCTACAAAAAAAATTTCTTTTAAATTAGCTGGGTGTGGTGGTGCTTGCCTGTAGCCCTAGCTACTCGGGAGGCTGAGGCAGGAGGATTTCTTGAGCCCAGGAGTTTAAGGTTG